TATCGCAATTACAGAAGATGTTAATCCATCAAACAAGATGTTTAAAGCTGCAACATGTTGCAACACGAAGACACAGAGATAGACTACATCTCAATCTTATCAATTGAGAGAGTGCGTGCTGATATGACTATCAACACTTCCAACCTCGCAACATCTATTCTATATTATAATGCCCTCAAAATTTCTGTGTATTTTCTTTGTTAAACCATTATCTTTTATAATCTTTGTCATTATCTTTTATCAGACTAGTGAAAAAATAATATTCAAGATATTAAAGTCGCTTCGTATATAATAACGGAAGAAGGCATATAAAATGATAGATGGACTCTACTCCTTTTTATCATGTTAACTCCTGAAGAAGCCACAACAATAATAACAATTTTTTCTAAATTTGATATCAATTATCTGAAAAATTGCCCATTTCAATAAATCATAATATATTGTTTTATAAATATTAGGGATTTAAAATTCGCTTGTCATTATTTTTTTAATAATTTATACACAATACACTTTACTTGGATACTAAATTATATATGCAGTGCGTGCATGGCACAAGTTAAAACCACAAATTTTTGATAAAACCAACTTATGTTATTATGTATGCAGGATTTATGAACTTGAACGACATTTTTTTACTTTAGGGTTCTGGTGATAAGTTGCCATGGCTGAAAAAACAAAATAAAAACAAAATTACAAAAAAGTTAAAAATTTATTTATATAAACATCATTTAGTAAAGTATTTAATTCACACATTGATAATGTTTTTGTTGCGAATTGAACTTTCTCTTGGATATACTCCTCATAAAAATAATTGTTTTGCAGATCAATATTTAGCTTATAAAATTTTAATTTTTAATCATTTACTTGCAATATAATTATTTAACTGTTTTATACTATCTAGTTAAACGTATTTCGTATATGCAAACAAACTCTGTTAGCACAGAAGACAACATGGTTGTTGTAGCAAATTAGAGAATTTTTAATTTCAATGTCGTTTTTTTGTGAGCCTCAATAAAGAACAAAGAATAAAATAAGACTAAGAAAATCAAAGTAAGAACACAATTAACAATGACAGCAATGATGATACCAGCAGCAGATTAATAATTAATAAAAAACGTATTCCTGAAGAATATATCTAAATAATGACATTATTTATAGAAATTCGTTTTGAGTATTTATAAAGTTAACTGCTTAATAAACTAAAGCAAAATACACCTACTTCCTACTCTAAGTCTACAAACAAAAGGATTCTTAGAGTTTTTGAAAAGTTTCTTTAATATATCTTAATCATCTATTTCATTAAATGAAATATTATTTATTTTAAATTTTAAAAGAAAACGTTGAATTATGTCTGAATTCATATCGATCATTTAAAACTTCCTTCCGATATTTTAAACACACTGATCATAATACAAGGTCATCAATGGAAACGCTGATTTTTACAAGTTCTGAAAACATCAAATTTGGTTCCAACAGAGACTTTTTCAAGGTTTTTTCAAATATTTCTCTAGAGTTCAATTTAATTTGTAGTTATTGTATCTTTTGGAAGCGGGAAAGTGTAAAAAGCGAAAAATGTGTAAAAAATCATTTTATTATTTTATGTTTGGTCTTGGTCTGAACTTCATGTACACACTAAACTGTAGCATTTATAAATCGATCTTTATAATAAATATTTTGAATGAGGTGTTCAAATTCCGATTAGAAAAAAATCGAAACGTGTAAAACGAATCGATTGAAAATTTTAATGAAAATGATTGAACGCACAATTCAAGCGCATAGCATGTCATGGATTTTTTTTTGATGTTTGGCTGTGCTACTGCTGCTTTGAAACTGCTTTGAAATTTTGTTAATAGGATAAACACATTTTAGTCATGGTCTGTACCAACTTTTGATATCGCACACATAAATTACACAAAACTACTTAACTTTGAATTAGTAGTGGTTCCAGCTTTCTTACACAAAATCCAACTAAGCGCTAATGAATTTTGATAAATGACCAGTTAGTTGATCATCAGCAAAGAAGAGTGGACACAAAAATTAATCAGACAGCATTAAATATAAACTCAAAATAAAACTAAGTAATATATATTTTCAATTTATAAATAAATTAAATACACAATTTTAATCGATACTTCTGCAAAAGTTTATAAAAAATGCGGAGTCATTGTTCAAGACTAAAGTTTATGCAATGTTTCCAAAAGTTTAAGGAATAAAAGCATAACATACAATGAAACATCTGCCAAAAACAGTCAGTGAACCATCAAAAAAAAAACCAATTAAAAAGTGTTAATTGCGGGTTGTTAATTTAAATTAGAGTTTCTATTGTGCTTGCCTAGCCCAATTGCCAGTTCCGCACTTTGGCGTGTTTACCACTATAACTGAGTTGTCTTATAAAATCCCATTTTCATTACCTCACTGACTTCAAATTCAAATTTTCATAAAGTATTTTTAATATAAAAAATTATAATTTAAAAAAATTTATAAATTGAACAATTGTTTATAGTTGCTTTTAAGTTTTATACTGAGAGCTCGTTACCTCCTCCAAAAATGCTTCTATTTACAATATTTTATCTGTGTTTAGGCTTATGAACACAGTCATAATTAATTATTTAATTTTGTTACTCAAACATATATTTTCATACTATAAATATTTAAAATTCCTTGTCTTCATAAACAATCGAATATTGGAATGTATTTTAGAACATTTTATCTTTTTGTGTTAACTTGAGAAATGAATATACCAAGAGGGTACTTTATATAAATATCGTGTCAGAAAATGTAAATAATAAATAATTGTCACAATTTATTAAAATAAATAAGTAAATAAGTTAATTTAAATTTATATCACAATAATTCGTTATAATTCCTCTTACTTTATTCTCAGAAGTTATTAGCTCGTAGATTAGCACAAATAAACACAAATGAATTAAAACCAAAGTGCCAGCTAGTAAGACCAAAAAATGTAAAAAATTCAATGTGGAGTTAAGTTAGATTATAACGACAATATAAACGATTTACTTAGGCTTTTAAACCCATTAATACAAAATATGAGTATAAAAAACTCAAAAATTTAAAAGCCA